AAGTTTCGTTGGAACGAAGTTACGAAAAAAATCAATTAACAAACGGAGACGTAACAATATATAAGAAACAATACCTCACTCTTCAAATACGTCGATATAGGTGCCAATATATTCTTTCTATCCCAATTTCTGCTCGAGTTTTGATTATTTTTTTGTAAGTCCCGTACCTTCCGTTTAACCGTTTAACCTTCATTGCGACCTTCACCTTCGACGTATGTGCACCAAAAGTTAAATAATTGGTCCTTGGGAGACATTTAACATTTGTATTAAGTCTGTCAAAACCAGATGAAAAATATTCGAGTTATTTTGTACACACACACACACACACGCATAAATATGAAAACACGTTTTCAATCCAGTATGTGTGTTTTTATAGTTTTATTACCCTCATTCAGCCCAGGACAGTCGGTATATTGTTTTCAATCCAGTATGTGTGTTTTTATAGTTTTATTACCCTCATTCAGCCCAGGACAGTCGGTATATTGTTTTCAATCCAGTATGAGAGATGAAGCGCCGTTTTTTGACAAGACATTGTGTGTTAAAGATATTGTTGGGAGATGAAGCGCCGTTTTTTGACAAGACTCAGCCAAGACATTTTGTGTTAAAGATATTGTTGGGAGATGAAGCGCCGTTTTTTGACAAGACTCAGCCAAGACATTGTGTGTTAATGATATTGTTGGGAGATGAAGCGCCATTTGTGACAAGACTTAGGAGTGTTTATCTGTTTCACCCGAAGAACACGATGCTTTAAATATGACAATAAGATTAAGACAACAAGCTTACAGCAGTTTTGAAGAATTAACAAAGAAAGTAGATTGTATGGGCTGTATGTGAACGATTTTTTTCTTACTGTGGTAGTCAAAAACAATGCTCCTATAGTTAGCAAATACTTGTTTGTTTTGTTTAACGTAAAAATAAACAGACTTTAGTTATCTATACGCTACCCGCCGAGGTGATCGAACCCCTAATTCCAGCGGTATAATACCTTAAGCTTACCACTGAGCGACAGGGAGACAGTGAGAAATGATATTTAAAATATCAAATTGTTCAGGATGTCAGTTATTTTTTTCTAACTTTACTTTTGTTTGTTTGTAGTTAAGTACAAAGCTACACAATAGGCTAGCTATAATGTGCCCACCACAGTTATCAAAACCCAGGTTTTTGCGTTAAGCCTTCAGACTTACCACTGAGCCCCAAGCACACTCACAATATGTTTTATTAGTGTTCTTGATGAACGTATTATTTGATGTTGGTTGACTTGTACATATTGTAAGCATTTTTGCCTAATTATATAGCGCCCCCAGTAGCACACCACATACCTGAGAAGCTAAAACGCTAGAAACCGGGTTTCGAGACCCATGGTGGGCAGAGCACAATTTTGTGCTTAACTGGAAACAAACAAATTATATAGCAACAATAGCGAAACTTATTGTTGTGAGCGTAATTCTGTAGGATAAAAAACAGTAAGTATATTTTATTGTTTCCAACTTATCAAGAAACGTTATAGAGTATTGAAACTTTAGAATTTTACATCTATTATAGGTTTGTCTAAAAACTAATACCAGAGGACCGGAAAAATTATAGCCATAACGGGCACTGCTCTTATTTACATAAAAAAAAGAACAATCATGCTACAATAGGTAGAAAAAAAATGACCATGTCATACCGCTTGAATTAAAACCATTCAAATTGACCTGACACGTTTCGGCAACCCCGAAGTACGGTCAGACTCAGATGAGTCAAAGTTAACGTACCATACTACTTTACGATCCCTTAAAATAACGTATAAATAGAGAGTAGAACTTACCTCCAAAGTACAGAGGTCAGCAATATTTAAAATACTTAACTCTAACAGTTCATTTAGTACAAGGCAACAACCAAGATGTTCAACTGTCCACGAGATAACAGTCCTTGGCAGTACAGTGAATAAGTTTATTTTCATGGCCAAGGCTGTGAAGTTAACAGACGAAGAGGGGCCGGAGTTTCTCTGGGCTATTGCTAAACCTTTTCCAATTGGCGCTACGATAGTTGATTCTGATTGGTTAGTGAAAGTGTCACCTAGGGGAAAGCCACAGTTGACTTAGCGAAGCGTGAATACAGGTTTTTTTTTTTCCAGAATGAAGACCGTGAACTTACAAGAGCACGATGATTCAGAATATAATAATGAGACCAGACACATTCCTTATATAACTTTTGTGTGTGTGTGAGAATTAACAGTGAAAGTAGATTGTTTCAGTTATAATTACACTACCTTCAGCAAAATAACGTATTTCAGCTCGGGACTCATTGCGAAAAATACTTTATTTAAAAAAAACGCCCCCTCCCAGTGGCACAGCGGCATGTCTGCGGACTTATAACGCTAGAAACCGAGTTTCGATATCCGTGGTGGGCAGAGCACAGATAGCCTTTTGTGTAGCTTTGTGCTTAACTAGAAATAAAATAAATAATTAATTAAAAAAAAACAACGTTAAATATACAGTAGCTTTCACTGCAAACAATAATAACAATTTACATAAAAATGTTCTTGAAAAAAATTATTAATTTTTAGAAAAATATTATAATGACAATAAATATGCTTTCCTTAGTCACCTTAAATTTTATTTACATAAGAAATTCTCTCAGGTATCTCTTTTTTTTTTTCATTGAACCAAGTGCTTATCATACTTAAATCATACAAAACTCAAGTGTTTCATCACATTTTTGAAAAAACAAAGCAAAAAACAATCAGCAGCTAGTAATAACGATATTAATAAACCGTAAGAATGCTATCACTGTATACCAGTTATGTTAAATTTAACAATCTAAGGCTATCATTGACGTCATCTAGTCTATAGAAATTTTATTTTATATTAAATGAACTTTACTATTATCTTTACTTGTGATCGCCTACTGGAAAGTCTGTCAACTATCAAATTAAGTCTCAAAAAGAATCACCCTGTTTCAGAAGGGTTAATATATTCTAAAAACTAGCAGGACGTGTTAAAAATAATGTAGTTAACATGAAATTAAACACTTTGACTCAATGAAGCATCTGCCGATATTCTTGTATCAAAAACTCTTTATTCTCATATCGCCAAAGTTTTAAATCATCATTATTCCATGAAGATGGAAATAAACTGATTGAAGTTAAGCACAAAGCTACACAATAGGATATCTGTGCTCTGCCCACCATGGGTATCGAAACTCGATTTTTAGCATTGTATGTCCGCAGACATACTGCTGTGCCACTGGGAGGGGGGTTGTAATAAATAAAGAAGACTATCACGAACTTACTATATTTAATCATTTGTTCAGAAGGTCAAAAGCTACCAAGTGTCTCAAGCACTCACAACCAGGTGACGAAAATTTGTTTATATATTAACAGTATTAACATAATACCTGTTGCACCATCATAATATAGATGTTGAGTGATGATTATGACGCTACCTACAATTAGCAGATATTTTGTTTAGAGACGAAACAAATAAAAACAACAACATAGAAACAGATAAATAAAAACGTAAACATGTGTATATTTATATATTTCTAGAAATCCAGAAGATTCATGGAAGATATAGATTTGAGTTTTATTACCCTCATTCAGCCCAGGACAGTCGGTATATTGCAACAATATCATTAACACACAATATCTTGGCTGAGTCTTGTCAAAAAACGGCGCTTCATCTCCCAACAATATCTTTAACACACAATGTCTTGTCAAAAAACGGCGCTTCATCTCTCAACAATATCATTAACATACAATGTCTTGGCTGAGTCTTGTCAAAAAACGGCGCTTCATCTCTCAACAATATCATTAACATACAATGTCTTGGCTGAGTCTTGTCAAAAAACGGCGCT